AGAGGACAGAAAAATTTTTGTGTTGGGACACACACATTGTATGCTTGCTATACATAAAAATGAGAAATATTTACACTAGGCAAATATGCAAGCTTTATAAACATAGGTGGCACTTACTTACATGTTTTCTCTTGCTTTTGTTTGAGCAGTGTTCATGTTCCTTGAACATGATGAATATATTCATCCCAGCCCAGTGGCTGGGTAAGCCAGCTCTGGAGATGCTTAGCTTTGAACAATGTGACCTGAGTGGTGTTAGATGTAACTTAAGATTTGCTGATTAAAGAAAACACCTCTAAAAACTTAGCATTTCTTTATTTGGCAAAGCAACTTATCACTGTTGTTATTAGTAATAATTCACAACCACATCACTGCAAGAAACAGTGAATTACAATTCTATATCTTCTTGTTATTATAATTTGTACAAAATCACTGTAAAAAATCTGATAAATTACACAAAAGGGCTATTAAGTTGGAATTCCACTGCCTCTGCTCCTGCAGTTGGCATTCAGGAGTAAGTCTATCCTTCCTTACAAGCTTATCCCTTTTTACCCCACCTTCCCACAGGGACATACCTGGTCAAGAGACCTGTGGTCTCTCCCCATGGGGGCCCCCAGTGGGCTTGTGCTCACAAGTCAACATCACTGCTGCCTGCAGATGTCCCGGCCCTTGCTCTTAGTATATCCTCACCACTTTCATTCTTCACCTAATTTGATGCCCTCTTCACCTTTTTTTTTTTTTCCCCCAAGTTTTTCCCACCCCTGCACTACTATTTCCCTGCCTGTACTCCTCCCAGATAAACAACCTACTCTTAATTTCTTTTCCCTCATTGGTCCCATATTTTTTACACTCAAAAGTTACTTTTTCTGACACTATTACCTAGGCAATATTTTCTCTAATATGGTATTACCATTACAGTTGGCTGAATGAGACAGCGTTGCCTCCAAGGCCTGCATTCTGACCCTGTGGGTCTCATTGGGAACATTAATGTTACACATTTCTGGACAGAATTGCCATACTTTACTCTTGATTCTCCAACCTAATTCTAATTAAGCAGCACCTCACCTTATGCACAGAGAGCTTGCACACCAGTGCAATGGCATGAGCTCATTTTGTGTTTGCACATATGTCTGCTCTTAAATAAAGTTCTTCGCACTCAGTGTTCCCATCAAAGGATGTGTAGCTTCCTGTGAGGGTGAGACTTGGGCACTTAGCACAGGATTCATCTCGTGTCAGCTGGACATCTGCTCTGTAGACACATCTCAGCCAGTTACCCTATGCTACATCTCTAATCCCCTTACCCTCCTATGATGAGATTTAGGTGTGGTATCTGAAATAGATCTGATGAGAGTCTCTGGGTGATCTAAAACAGCAGCTGGATGTTGTGCCTATATTGCATAAATCTTAAATTAGATCCTATAAACCCCATTTCTAGACTCTGGCTAAACTCTGGACTTCTTGGAGATTAGTGTGATTATACATCATCCAAAACATGAGAAAGACTTGAAGCTGAAGGGCTTCTCAGCAGACACCTTCATACTTGAAGGCCAGTTCTTCCAGATTACACAAATCTTAGAATATTGTTCTGGTACACTCATCTTCATTTAACTGCATACTGAGCTAGTCAGGAGATCCATTTCCCCATCCTTACACTTTCCACAGGGGGTGGATCTCTCTGTGGAAGCTACCTCCACCCACCTTTGTGGTTGAGAGGAAGCAGTAGGACCTTTCTGGGAGAGACACAGTCCATCAGTTTTAAATTCCAGTGTAAGGATGGGATGAAGCATGTCCTAGATGTGACTGTTCTTGCCACTGACCAAAAAGGCTCCTGCTCAGTTCAAAACAACCACATATGGTTATCACCATTAGTGTTATGTTCCCAGAAATCTGTTTTCCTCAGGACACAAATAGTTGAGGACTTCAAAGTACATTGTCCATTGCTAAATTTGAAACTTCCAGGTTTTTGCATTCTAATTATTGACTGATATATGTCCATTTGATTTCCCTTCATTTCAGTTGTGGGTCCACGGGTATAGTTGTTTTTAGCAAAGTTCTACAAGAATCCTTAACAGACTTACTTTTGAATGTTAACAAGCTTGTAAACTATACTGTTTTAGACTGTAATCCCCAGTAATGTAAGCTCAAACAGCGCAGCAACCTTAAAAAAATTATAAATATTGTAGATATTGTAATAGTGGAAGATAGTAGAAAATGCTGCATGTGACTAAAAGTTCCCAGAGTCATTCCACTAGCAGTTGAAAAGTGAAGAGGTGGAAATCAGGTAATAAAGAAAGCCCAAGTATAATCAAGATGAGGTATCTTACTGCTGGTCTCAAATGCTTTCCCATTATGTTCCCTACCCTTGGAGAATCTTCCAGATTTTTCTTTTCATTATCTGCAGAATCTGTGTGCATAAAAGGATACAAAATGAAAAAATAATGAAAAAAAAAGCTTCCTAAAATTGTGGAAGAAAACAATTGTGTCCCCATATTAGCTGCTGGTATTGTTACAGCATGCAAATTAAAATATTGGATGGTGGATAGTACACAAACAATAGACCTTGAACTTCCATTTGAAATAAGCATTAGCAGCCTCCTCCATTTTTTTCTTACAAGTGCACAAATATCTTAACATAGTTCTGATTCATTTTCTATTTTCTCCTTGACAACAGTTTACCAAATTTAGAGTCACTATGCTATTTAAAGAAATAAACTTATTGTTCTCATTATTTTCTTCTCAGTAGGCAGAACTGAGAACCCACATGATCAAATTACTGTATCTGTCTGTTACTCTTAGGCTGGGATATGCTGTTGTTTACAACTCTGACAAAAACAGATTCTAAAAGTTCAGAATTGATTGTTCCCAATGGCAGCACTACATAGCACAGTTCTCCCTAAAGTATACCCACATCCTCCAGAGGAGTATGATCACACAGGCCATTCATCTGCATGGCATCCCTAAAAATTAATAGAACTATACTCAATTTCAGAGAAGTAACTGTGGGGGAAACTCCATTAAATGAAGGATACTGAGAAAAAGGTGCACATTTCATCTGCAAATAGGTTAATAAGAAATAAACTCCATGGAAATTGTGAGGTTTATTTAACTCAAAAATGGACCAACCTGAACAAACTGCTGGAGTTTATAAAATTATCTTGATTTAATATTTCCTCTAAACAATAGCTTAAACATAAATCAGAACTCATGACATGACACAGAATTCTGCTACATCCATGAAATAATTTCCTGAATAAAACACCTAACCTAGGTCAGGGCATGGTTTCAGTTTGGTGGACTGCTTTGTTCAGTATGAAAACCCTATCTCCTCAATTAAACATGAGGATTAAATATAAAGCTGAAACAAAAGTGCTTTAGTATATAAAAGTACTTTAGATACAGACATGAACCTTCTCATGACAAGCATAAAAACTTGTTTTGGGAACTTTGTATTTCTGTGTATCATAAGATTAAGAGTCTGCTGTACAAACATGACCAAAGCAGGACTTAGATAGTGCTTGGTGCCTGCTCCATACCTTTTATTAATTTGACTGCCAGGGAGATATCCAAATCCCAGAGCTGTGTTTTCAGGTAGTGTGAAGGCAGAAATGGATACCAGAGAAATGTGACTGAAAAACCTCAGGCGCTGAGTAGAGGATTGCTTAGAGCCCCATGGCAGCTTTGGTCCCCGCTCTGTTTTAGCTCCTTTAGTCAGCCCTAGAGGCAGGAATAGCAGCATTACTGTCTATTTATGAAACAGCACAGCAGTTCAGAGCACCCATCCTGTTTTGGAGCCTTGTTTATGTCCCCTTCACCTCCCTTTCAAGAGATTATGAGCTCAAGCTCTGAAGGAGGCAGAAAAGTGAAGGCACCATTTGCTTTAGCCAAGAGGAGAGCAAGTGAGATGGAGCCTGACTCTGCACCCTACAGCTGGGTTGCCTTGAGGTTTCATGTGAGGATCAGTGCATGTGAAATGCCCTGAATGAGAGATTCGAGTTTCCTGTAGCCACTAGACTTAGTCCTTCTCTCTTTTTCTTCTGACTGTATTAATTATTCACTGTGGGCCAAGTCAGGTTCAGAAATAGTGATGAGAAATCCCTTCCTTCTTTCCCAGATTACTTACTAGGCTGCTGGGTCATTTTCAGGGGGTTCCAGTGGGCTGCAGGCAGGTCTTCACAACATTCCTAATCATTAAGTTACATTTATAAAGGTCACACCACAGCATCTTTGCTGTTCAGGTTTCTGAACAAGACTGGCTGTGGCTGCTACATTCTGTGCAGGCACTTGCATGGAATATAATCTGAGTTTGCCTGCCTGTTGAAGTCTGTCCAAGGATTTCTGTGGAGCAGTGCATATTTTGTGATCCATATATTTGTGGTCCATGCCAATGTGGTTGTGGTCAGGCAGGAGAGATATAACTGAAGACATTTACTTAAGCTGGGAGTGACTTCTAAATCACAGTGGTTGACTGCTAGCAAATGTTTTGTTCCTCCAGAATAGGTAGCCATAGAAGAGGAGAAAGCATGAGTTTGGCTCATGATTTTGAACATGATACCTACATCTTTCTTTATGTCCACCAATAAATATTTCAAAATACAGCAGCCATTTGGAGCATGCATAGAAGGATGTGCTGCATTGTGACCTAGGACTTAGTCCATGTCCCTAAAGAATTCAAGCAGCTGCACTTCTGTGATGTGATATCTATTGCATGTGTCAAAAAGATACGTGAGATACTGCTCAACATCAAGCTGCAGTGTTTTGAAAATGTGGAGGGAAATAAATGAAGTAACATTATATTTCTTGATGCTGATCTCCAAGGACTGGACAGCCACTCATGGTTGTTTCTAAGCATATATTAAAGAGGTTTCAGCTGTAAATCCTCGATCTGATCCTGGTCTTTGCTTTAGCAGTTCCCAGCAGGTCTGCTAATCAAAGCTGATTGTGTTGTTTCAGATATTCTAGCTGATATCTTTTAACTTTTGTGTTATGTGTGTTCTGGTTTGCAGGGTGGAAAGAAATACACAGGACCATGTGGAGGCAGAGACTGCAGTGGAGGATGTCAGTGTTTCCCTGAAAAAGGAAGCCGTGTAAGTAACATTTTTTCCTGTAAATTGTTCTTGATGGTACAAGTTCAATGCTATATATTTTGCTATAGGTGGACTTGCACTAGACTGCTAAGAGTGCTAAAACCATTATTCTTTTTCAGGAAAAAGTTGTTGGTATTTCATCTTACTTTCTCACAGGCTTGCAGATTTGAAGAAATGGTTTGTTGTGAATGCCTTGTTATGATATGTAGTAGGCACCTATCTCAAAAGATGAGGGCCAAGGAATCTGATGGCCATGACAAGCTGATCAGATCAGAATGATGAAAAGATACCACATACATGCATGGGATACAGACATTTGATGATTTTAGAGATCTTTTCCAACCTAAATGATTCAATAATTCCGTGATTCTAGATGATTTCCACTAGAGCAAGAAGGAGCCATGCCTGCAAAACCTGAAATCCCTGCTGAAAGGCAACTGTTTAGAATTCCTGGCATTATGTTGTGGCTGACAGTCTGTTCTTCATTCCAGGAACTAGTGAGGAATGAGGCAGAGGAAAGGAGATGGGGTGGAGGGGATTAGCCACCTGCCACAAAGAGCACTGAGAAATAGGGCAGGGCTCCTATCCTGTATGGCTTGGAGCCCTGGCTGGCAAGCTCCTTCTGTACAGCTTGGTCTTCTGCAGCTGAGACAGTGACTCAGCCTTTTCCATCCACCCATCTCTAAGAATAGGTCAGGCAAGAGATGTGGTGGCAGGTCATGTGCTTGTTCTGCTATCACAAACCTCATAAGATTTTTCAGTCCTCTGCCTTCCCTCCACACAGCCAGCCACCAGTTCCCATTCCCATTCCCATTGCATTCCTCAAGCTTGACTCCACGTCTGAGTGGAGGGAGAGGTGGCAGGAAAGTCACAGTGTAGGTGGGAGGCAAGGAACATTGCTGTTTACAGCAGAAGTCCTGATGTCTCCATGGAAGTCAGATGATCCTGGGGCCACCATGCCATGGGGACTGTTATGGTTATACTCCCATGGCCTGACCATGAGCTGCTCATGATCTGCTTTCCATTACAATAACCCAATGGCAACCTGATGATCTGAGGACAAACAAGCCATCCCCTGAGACACAGCTTCCCATGGGGCTCCCTCCAGCTGTTACTGCCTTACCCTCATCATCCAGCACATGAAGTTTGGCGAGTGCCTCCTGCCACTTCCCACTTTTTTTTGATTTTCCCACTGAAAATCAAAAACTGATGCTGTAAGATGCTCACTAGAGTTCATGAAAATATCTGTTGCAAAACTACCAACTTTGAAATGCTTTTCATGCTCCTTATTGACTGAATGACCTTGAATTTCAAGTTGCCAAATATGAAAGAAAAAAGAGGTAGTTAAACAAAACTAACTGCATAGGTTGGAAAAGCTGAAAATGTGAAAATACCACAGTAGAGAAGCAGTCAGGTGCCACTGACAAGAAGCTCCCTGTGAGTTGCTTCCTATCTAGATTGGGAAAGTGAGGGCAGATTTTATGTACTTGCTTACCACTCTCAGTTTTACCTCAGGAAAGTAAGTAAACCCACTTACTAATGAGGTTGGCCTCCCTTTAAATAGATGCTCAAAAAGAGAAAAAGGACATGCTACAAAACATAAATTATATTTTACTGCTTGTGGTTAATTGTACAAGATGTGAAAAAGTATTGGAAAAGGGGATTTACAGAATTTTACACTTCAAAAATAATATTTTATCCCTCTGTATTTTACCTCTCTGAAATGATACACCTTATTCTGATTTAGCATACACTGCCTGTATTTTGTGTCTGCTGATCTCTTCAGCTGTCACAACCTCTGTTAAACATCTGGTTTAAGGAACAAGATTGGCCTTTAGAGTCTAGTCAAGTTTGGCATAGCTTCTGGTCTCATGCTAATCCTCAATGGGAATATTTATTTTCACAAAAGCTCAGTATAATCTGGCACGGCGCACGTTCTCTGTTCGAGGTGACTCATTGCGTGCACAATAGAGGTCCTGCGTGTTTGCACTTGTCAGAGTGCCTGAAGCAGTCTGGCAGAGCCTGCTTCTGCACTGGCTCTCCAGCCCAGGTGCCACAGAGCTGTCACTTGCCTGCAACTCAGGTAGGAGCAGCACTGCAAGGGTCTGCAGCCAGCTGTCAGCCCTGCCATCCTCTGGAAATTCACCCTCTGTTAGTGACAGGTCAAAAACCAGGCAAATTAAAAGCATTTTCTTTGGATTGCTGCTACTGAATGCACATCAGCATCTGTTGAATGAGGTGAATTCATTGAAGTGGTAAACACAATTGCGAAGTGTGAAAGGAGTGAAGGTGTGAAGGAATTCCTGCTCTTTATTTATATATGCCTCTACTTCTTTTGTTGTCATTGTAGTCTTAAGATACAGCATTTAAGGAAATAGGCTTAGCTTTATTTGTTGTCTTAATGCAGTAACTTTTGTTTTTTAAAAAGTATTTTTTTGCAAAATATTCCCACTGGTATCTCCTGGGACTCTGTGCTAGATGCAGAGAGGCACTATCAAGATGTGTGCAGATTCATCCTGGCTTTGGTGATCTGGGCCAGGTCTCCAGGTGCAGGGCATCTGGCAGCCCTGTGCTACTGTCTACACTGCTTTTGGTTCAGGACTGGTGAGGATAGGCACAAAGGCACAGGAAAGCTGAATCCTGCTTCACAGTGGCAGTTTCCAGAGGCAAAAGGCAACCTAGCACAAATCAGTGCACCCACCTAGCAGGCCTACTGGAAAGAGGTACGTGGTTTTAGGTTTTCTCTACTCTGTTTTGGCTGGGCTTGACCCTGCAGCTTTCACTGGGCTCAGACACAGCTTAAATCCAGTGATAACAGAAAAACAAAACAGCAGAAGCATCATCTGCCCACTGTAGTGGTGGGGGGAGCTGCTGCAGCTAAGCAAAAGCATCATCTAGCCTGCAACCTCCTGCCTCTTATCTGAGCTGTTCCCAGGGCTGTGAGGACATCTGCAAATGGCACTTTCTTCTTCATTCCCAAAAGGAAAGCTGGTCAAATCCAAATGTGCAGAGAATCAGGACATTGTTAATAACTGTGTTAGCAACTCACAGCAAATGCTGAGTTGTTTCTTGGAGAAGTTTCTCCAAAGAAATGTCTCTCAGGCCATACATGATCCCCCTGAAGTTCCCACCTCCAGTCCTGCTTTGTGTTCACATCTTCATAGCAGAAAGAGTAAAGGTCCTTCCATAAGCTGGTTTTGGTTTTCCCAGTCTTTAATGAAACTTTAGTCTTTGTTCTTTTCACTTCAGCCCAGTTATGTTCCAGTTGTATTTACTGTTAGCTGGTTACAAATACCCAGTCTATCTAACCATACCTTGCATCTAGGTAGATGGCTGGAGCTGGGGCTGCAGGAGCCAGGCTTGGGGACCAGCCTTGGCCCCATCTCCCCTTCTCACAGTGGGCAAAAACTCAGTGGAGCTGCAGTGCAAATCAAGGCTCCTGGAGGAGTGTTCAAATCCACATGACAAGAAACCATAGTATAAGCCTCAGTGGAGGACACAGAGTGAGAAGACAGAGGAAAGACAGCAGACTTTTCTCCCTGAGCAGATTAATCTTCTCATTTTCTTCTATGGCAACTTCTCCTAAATTGTTCTCCTACAACAAGAGACTCACCCGTTCCCGAAGGTGCATTTGGAGAACATAATATAAGGAGTACAGAGATGCCTGGATGTGAAGGAAAAGAGTAAAGGGAAACACTGATAAGGTATTGAAATTCTGTTTTGAATGAAATGGAAAACCTGGATTAAATGAATTTTTTAAAATCTGGTTTTCTTTCTTTCTTTTTCCTCAAGATTTTTATTGCAGCTCCTAAAATCTTGAGATGTATAGTTCTTTGTAAACCATGCATTGCTCAGAGAACAATATATGTGCCTTAAAATTTGTTAAACATTAATGCACTTATGTAGGAAATGATAAGTCCATTCAGTACAATGGCCAACTGTTTGATCCATTGAAGTTCATAATCAGCCTCACTTCATCACCAGCCTAGAAGGCTTTATAGAAAGTGGAAGTGAGTAGAAATCTTTTTGATCTTTCTATAGAGTGAGAAATTGCACTCTTTTGTACTTCCCAAGTCAAGCATCTAACAGTGCTCAAGCCATTTAGCCATTGTTTTTGCAATGGAATGATGGAAACTGAAATTATAAGACAGCTTTGTGTCCCCCCATAAAGGCCACTTCTTGGGAAAGCCCAGACATTTATTTTTAACCTAGACTGACATGAGTGTTCACTAGCAGTCCTTTACAGATAGCTGTTCTGTTGCTTTCACTGATGCAGTGGCCAAGGGTAAACTATTACCAGTACACCTAAAATTACTTCTGTCTGCTTTTGGATGCTACACAGTTGGGAAATATAGTATGTGATATTTGCTTGCAAACATTTTCCATACAAGTTTAAGTCTTAACACATGGGCTAGATTTAGATGTGTTTCTTCATAATTAAAAACAAACAACAAAATAGAACACACAAATATTCTAAAGTCAACTCCATTATTATATTTTAGGGAAATGTTTAAATCCAATAAAATAATTTCATCAGCTGTTAGTGTAATTCTTGTATATCATAATTAACTGGCTTCCAAGCTGGTATAATGGCAGTAACTCCGTGTAAGTCTGTTGGTGTAAACTGATATATCTGATTAAATCTGATATTTAATTTTTTTTCCCACAAAATAATAACATTAGAAGCATCTTCTTAATTATTCATCTAGCTCACTATTCTGTTCCCAAAAGTGAACTACCATAAGAGATGCTATTTATAGGGAGCACAGAGTTCTGGCAATTTTCTGCAGTCCATTCACTTGCACCCAAGATAACCCAATTTAAATATTCCTTCAGTATCTGTGTTTTGTCCTGAATTTTTCCAATCCTTTTTTTAAGCTACTGTGGCTGTGTGTCTTTGCAACCTCCAGTGGCACTATTCAAATGATATAAATTATATAAATCACTGTCTGAGCTGTTCTAAGCAAAGCTCCCTCTGGTTTCCTCAAATACACCCTGTT